CCCATAGCGCTGCAATTGCAGAATCCCGCGATTAGCATCGTGCCATCCGATATAGGATGATAACTTACTAGCGTAGACACCGCCGCCCATAGCGTTGAACGGAGCACCATACGAGTTCGTTTCGCTTGCGCGCACACCACAACCCGCGTTCCCGGTGTCCGCAGCAGCACAGTCCGTTCCGCCAATCAGAGAGCCTGAGATGCCCAACGCGCTGGGATCCGACGAGGGCATGCTGCAACCGGGCGCCGTGTGGAGCGTCACCTGGTTGTTGGTGTAGTCGTTCACACCCTCGACCATGTCGATCTCGCCGCCTGCAGGCCAACCCGGACCTATTTCAAAAATGTCAGTGATAGCTCCTGTGAATAGTTGCTGCATCGAACGTACCGTTGCTCCAGAACGCTGGCCATGTCCCGCATCCCGTTGGCATGTGTACGGCGTCCAATACTACCAGGCCGCCGGTGTAGCTGTACTGCGAGGTTATACGTATGCTCTTGCGGTAGGTCGACACTGTCCCAGTCGTTTCGGCTCGCATGATAGCATTTCCCGCGGCGTTGATCTCAGTGAGATTAGAGGAGTTCTGGATATCTGAGTCAGCACAACATCCTGCTGCACAAGATATCCGGCGATATAGTAAACTTACGGCCGTGTCTTTATCCACATATTGCGCGACACCGTGCGTCGTTGTGTCTGGAGAGTTCTGGAAGTCCCACCCATCGAAGAAAGTGTCACCTTCCTATAAGAGATAAATGTGTCAAATTGTGGCGTAATCGGAGGTGAAGGCACAACGCACGTAGCTCTGGGCAACTTTCCACGGCGACGAAGAGCTGCCCGAGGAGCTTCCTGTTGCGGTCGGTGAGGCAGTGGCAGGACTTGTCGATTGTGTTGCGGTTGCTTTCGTTGTGGTGGTTGCAGCGTTTGTCGGAGAGGTCGTCGGAGTTGGTGAAGACGACGACACAGACGAGGGGGCGGCGGAAGAAGCACTTGGTGAGATACCCGTATCGCTCGAACTCGGGGCACTGGACCCACTGGTGCCATTATTTGCAATCCCGAGCGCTGTGTTCCCGTTGTTCACGCAGTACATATTTGACGACTGGAACGAGATATATTGAGTATACTACGCTTACTGCTGCGGAAGGCAAATGCCTGTGTACGCGAGGCGACGGACGTCGAGGAGGCCAGTGCGCCGCTTGATTATGTGACGGTAAACGGGTCGCGCTGCGCGGGAGAGTTAGGACTCGGAGTCGCGCGAGAACAACGCAGCGTCGCTGGGTGTGGCAGTGGCGAGCAGGAGGAGCAGGAGGGGGACGTGGAAGTACATCGCGCGGGCGTCCGAGGGTGAGGTGTGGTGGTGGTTGGCGGGAGACAAGCTCGAGGAGCGCCGATAGGTGGTCGGATCGGAGAAACAGACCGCGAGGCGCAGCTTGGGTCGCGTGCGAGGTCGTGAGGCAGGATCTTCGCAGAGAGAAAGAGGCGGGGGAAGAGAGCAGCCTCGGAGCGGGACGAGGGGATATATGTACACGCTGACGGGGAGAAGAGAGAGGAGAGCCTCGCAGACTTGTGGAGAGAACCACGTCTTTCTAAGCGCCCATCACCACGATCCTCACTCGCGCGCTCCTCGACTCCGGTCCGGCGCATCCGGATATCCAGGTGCGATGCCGTCATCGTCTGTCGCTCGCAGACAGCCCTCGAGCAGTCCCAAGCAGCGCTCTGTGCGCTCTCCCACTCGCTCTCTCCGACCGCCTCCAAAACGCCCTCGACGCCACCGCACTGGCGCTCACACCCTTCCAACCGTGTTTTTGGCGGGCAGCTCGCGTCGTTCCAGCGCTCAAAGTCACGTTCTCTCCCGATCTCGCCTCTAACCGTGCTTGACCGCGCTCGATCTACCTTTTGGCGCAGAGCTCGCTCTCTCGACCGCATCCCAGCGCCGCTCGTCTGTCCCTCCGTCCGCCCTTTCGAGGACCCGTCCGCCCTCTCCGCGCGCTGCTAGTCCGTCCCTCCGTCCCTCCGCTGCTCCCTTCTCCCTCGTGCCGTCCGGGCCAAGTGCATGCAGCCCCGCCGCCTGTCCCGCTCGATGCATACTGCAGGCAAGTCTTCACCTTCACACCCTGCACATATAGATCTCTCACGCCGTTCGATTGCACACAGGCTACTAACAGTGCTAGTGGGCACAGCTGGACTCGCCGTCCCTGTCCCTGCCCATGGCCATGCTAGATACGTATGCACAAATCGCACTTGCCGCGGCGGGCAGTACACGGAACACGCGTCGCAGCGCTATCTCACAGTATCTTGACGTGCTTAGCATAATGCCCCCCGACTGGAGCCCCGAATTCGCCTCGCTCTTTGGCCTACATTCGTTTCCACTGACCGAATCCTTACGTCTCGATTGTTCTGCTGCAGAGTAGCTCAAGTGTACATGTACGTTACAGTACTGTCGCCGGAGCCCCGGCCTCGCGCTGACATCGACACAGATCTAGACGACGAATCCCGCCCATCTCTACTGCCGGGATCGCGCGTCCACCATCACGTCGTGGGTCCTGTCGCAGGAGGTGAGCATGTCGTCTGTACCATGATCCCCGCCGGTCCGCTTACCTGCCCGATCTGCACCACAGGATACACGGACACGACCGCGCTGCGACGATAGCGCCACCACGCAACCATCAGCACTGTGTCATCTGGACAGCACCCCGGCCACTCACCAGATTAGCAGAGGCTGCCCGGGCCTCCTCGCTGCGGTCAGACGAGCGTCGGTGCAGAGCAATACCAGAGCTACCGGGGTACGGAATCGACGTTGACGGTCGGCCAGGGAGGCGAAGAGAGGAGGTGGTGGTGGAGGTGGGGGGATGAGGTATCGGCCGTACGTCCCACCTTTTATCGACTGTCTGCATCTGCATACGCGAGACTCACGCACGGGCCAGGCAGCTCCGCGATGGACCCCGCTGTATCCATCTCGGACGGGCGCCGCTCGGGGCGGTCTCGAGTGACGACTTACGCATGTGCACCCCCGAGCGCAGAACATCGGCCGCGATGGGCTCCGCACAGCGCCGTTCTGCGGCCGCCTCGACGCACAGCACGCAT